AGAGGCAGCAACCAGGGGCCTTTTCTCACCTCGCCATCACTTTAAAGCTTTGAGAAGAGGCTCCTCTGCCCTGAATTTGCAGGGTCACTGCCTCTGCGTGATTTCCTGGGACCAAACCCCACCCTCCCGGTGCCTTTCTCAGGCCAGAAAGGCGGGCTGAGGGAACTGGCAAAGCCAGAGGTACTCCGAGCAATCACAGCTGGGGTAGCTTGAAAGCAACTTTACAGCCGTTGCTAGAAAGCGCAGCAGCTTTACATCCAACCGTCTTGCTGCTTTCACGTGACTAATCCAGGCTGGCTCCATCCTGCTCGGCACAAATGCCCATTTCCTTCCTCATTGGGGTCGCTGGTCGCCAAGCAGCAAAATCAATAAGCAGGAGTCTGGGGGAGCCGGTTTTTCTGCACAGTCTAATTAACCAGGGGAATGATGTTGTGGGACAGTGTTGAGTTTAGCATGTCTCAGGAAACAAGTAGCTACAGGGCGTTTGCGCCATGCGGAATACAGGGCTCAGGGTGCAAGACCAAATTCAGCCCAGTTGAATCTTTGTCCCAGTTGGAGGCAGGATCTGATGTTATTATGGTAGCACAGCAGAGCCGTTGGCCCCGATCCTGAATGGTATTTGGCTACCTAATGCCCCCTGATGAGGATCCCCAAAGCTATTCTTCTGCTCTGCTCTGCACTGGTTAGGCCTCAACTGGAGTCTTGTGTCCAGTTCTGGGCACCGCATTTCAAGAAAGATGTGGAGAAATTGGAGACGGTCCAGAGACGAGCAACAAAACTGATGAAAGGTCTAGAGAACATGAGCTAGGAGGGGAGGCTGAAGGAATTGGGCTTGTTTAGTTTGGAAAGGAGAAGTCTGAGGGGGGACATGAGAGCAGGTTTCAAGTATCTAAAAGGGTGTCACAAGGAGGAGGAGAAAAATTGGTCCCCGTGGCCTCTGAGGATAGAACAAGCAGCAATGGGCTTAAACTGCAGCAAGGGAGGTTTAGGTTGGACATTAGGAAAAGCTTCCTGCCTGTCAGGGTGGTTAAACACTGGGATAAGTTGTCTGGGGGGGTTGTGGAATCTCCATCCCTGGAGATATGGAAGAGCAGGTGGGACACACACCTGTCAGGGATGGGCTAGACGGTGCTTGGTCCTGCTGTGAGGGCAGGGGACCGGACTCGATGACCTATGGCTGCAGGTGGTCTGTGGGGGTAGCCTGCATTTCAGCCCTGCAGAGAACTGAGGGGCATGTTCGTAGCTCTGAAGACCAGAGGGAGCTATTAAGAACCTCTCCTCTGACTCCGCTGTAACCCAGGCTGGCCACGGCTACCCGCCCGCTCCTGCATCCTAACGGGACCGGACTGCTCCATGTGGTTCAGAAGAACATCCGCCATGCCCCTTGGTCACTGCCACGGCTGAATTCCCTTTGCTATCCACATGTGCATCTGGCTTCTCAGCTGAACATCGCTGACTTGGCTCCCCGGGCGTTGTGTCTTGTTCTGCCTTGATCTGCTAGAGGCAAGAGCCCTCTCTGAGGACGCGTTGGGGAGCCCCCCACCCTGCGCCCCCGTCCGCAGCCGGAGGTGAATCTCAGCCGGCCAGTGGAGCAGATGGGTTATTGGCTCTCGGCGTAGCGTAGGGTCGATGTTACCGCAGGAGACAGGGCCGAGCCTTATTCCTTGGGGGAAAGGGGTTCACGGGCCCCTGAATCCCCGTCCTGGACTTAGTCTGCTCCCCTCACGCTTCCCCCAGCGAAGAGTGACCCAGTCCCAGGCCCTACCCCCCAGCCAGGTGGCCGTTCCTTTATCTCTCTCTGGGAACAGCCTTCTTATCTGCCGCAGGCTGGGACTAGGTGTCTGGGCCAATCCACATGTGCAGCGAATCCTGGGGATTCAAACTACACAGCCAGGACCGAGCAGTGGGTTACGAGCCAGACAGTCTCCCCACGGCCTCACACCCGCTACTAGCAGTTATCTTCTCCCTGGGTAGCTGCTTCTGCAGTGACCAAGTCACCTGGCACCTTTCCTTTGACAGCTAAACAGCCTGGGCTCCTTTAGTCTCTCACGGGAAGATGCATTTCCTTCATGGATCTCCTCTGGACACTCATTTTTCAGCATCCTTTTAAAGGGGGAGATACCAAGAGCTGGACATGGCATTTCAGTAAAGCCAGTTCCATAGATAGCGTTACTATTTACGCTCACCTATAGCCCATGTTCAAAGAGAAAGCCTCTAGTCAAAGACCGCCATTGTCCTAGAGCACACCCGGAACTCATGTTTTCCGTCTTGTATATAGGGGGGGGGGGGGGGGTGGCTGCTCTGTGGATTGGCCCAGACACCTAGTCCCAGCCTGGGCGGATAACAAGGCTCTTCCCAGGGGAGAGACAAAGGAAGGGTGTGTCTAGACTACAGAGTTTTTTCGACAAAAGTGGACTTTTGTCGACAAAACTATACCTGCGTCTACACTACCGCTGAGTTCTGTCGACAGAAGGTGTTATTGCATGTAAACTGTCCTTGCGTCTACACTGCCATGTCGACAAAGCAGCTTGCTTTGTCGACAGAACTGAATGTAGTGTAGCTGCTCTTTGTCGACAGAAGCTTCGTGGACAGTATCTGTCGATAAAACTTCTGTCGACAAAACTCTGTAGTCTAGACGTACCCGAAGGGAGGCAGAGACGGCCACCTGGCTGGGGGGCAGGGTTTGGGAGCCAGGCAGTTTCTGACTGGGAAACATGAAGGGAGCAGACTAAGCTGAGTGCTGGGGGTTGAGGGGGTGATGGACCCCCTACCCAAGGGGTCTGAGGTATCCTGGCCCTGACTCTTGTAGCCACGTCACGTCTGTGCTGCGCTGTATCCCAGAGGAGCAATAAACCCCTCTCTGTTCTACTGGCCGGCGGAGTCTCATCTTGCTGTGAACGGGGGTGCAGGATCGAGGGGTCCCCGACATGCCACCAGTTTATTATGCCCATTTTACCCAGCAATCCGGATTGCCAAGCGCCCTCCTCATTATTACCTCCCCACCAAACCTCGTTGTGTCTGCAAACTTCATCCACAATTGTATATTTTCACCCATGGTATTGATTCAATTCTTGAACTGAGTACGGGTCTCAGCCCCCCTCCCAGAATCACAGCAGCTAAGAAGTGCATTGCGAGACCTCTTCGCTGGCCCGTTTTCAATCCATTTCATAAATACCATAATCAATGAGCCAACTTGTAGCTGGGAGGACTCCAGGGCTCAGTTTAAATGTCGGTGCTTCAGTTTTCCATTTGCACTGTGGGATCTGGCAACTTGACCTGGAAGGTAACAACGTGCTTTGTTTGTTTGTTTGTTTGTTTGTTTGTTTGTTTGTTTGTTTGGGGGGGGGCGGATTTACCAGGTTATTTTGTAAAAATGTATTATTGCCAAGAAGTCTCCAAGGGGGAGCCATGTTAATCTGTAATTTAAATACAACAAGGAGTCCTGTGGCACCTGAGAGACTAACAAAAATATAGAGAATCGTGAGCTTCTATGGGCAAAACCCACTTCATCAGATGAGTTGAGTGGAAAAAGCCAAGAGACGCGTCTGCTGAGTCAGCAATGAGACGAGGTGGAAAGGGCCATCCGTCCTCACGCTTCGGGGAAGGGGCTGATTAGCACCGGGGTACGGCAGGAATCCAGCGCTCTGCTCTGGCAGCTTCCAATAAAATGCACCGACACGTGGGAAAATGTAACATTGCCTTTATTGGCTCGTTCCTCCCAGACAGCAAGGATACAAGCTTGGTCATGCAGACGCCAAGTGACGGCACAGTGACAGACAAGCACACAGCACACGGAGAACCACGCGCCGCTGGAAACAACGCCTCCGCGAGCGAGCCCAGCCAGCATCATGCACTTAACGGGGGCGTGAAATGGACAAGCGCGGCAGCGCCGAGTGGTCGGGGAGCCCTCTTGGCGGTGGCATCGGCCTCGCCACGCCTCGGGCCCCGCCTCGCTGCACGGATGCAGCAAAGCCTCTGTCACTTGGCTCCCTGGTTGTTGTCTCCCACCACGGGGGCTCCCCTGCCAGTCACAATGGGGCTGAGCAGTGCGGCCTGGTTCTTGGGGCTGTTCGAGAGGAGGCTCTGCTGGGAAGTGCGGGAGGGCCGGGGAACGGGCCCCGCTTGGGACCGTCTGAGGTGAGAGGGACAGAGGCAGCAGCAGGACTGGGGCCCGCTCCCACGCACCGTGACATGGGGCATCTTGCGCCACCTCCCCTGGCACCAGCCCAACGCACTGGGGCCCTGGTACGTCCGCTGTGCCGGGCACATGCCAACCTGTGCAGCGGCCCCTCCGGCCCCATTGCAAAGGACAGTCAGGTTGCTTCTTGTGCCACTTTGGCAGGCAGCAGGGTCCCCCCGGGGACGCTGGCATGGCCCGCAGCCAGGGGGGTGCTGGTCCAGGGCTGGGGATGCCAGCTGTGTGCCGGGCAGCAGAGGGGGAATGGTGGCATGGACAGAAGCGCTCACAGACAGGGGACGCGACACTGGGTGCGTAGGTGCGGATTCCCTGCAGCAGCCCTGATTGGCTGCTCTTCCCCAGGAGGCGGGCAAGGGGGAGCCGCAGCCAATCCGAGGAAGTCTCCCAGCTCACCCGGGAATTGTTCCGTCCAGACCTGAGCCAGCGCTGGAAGCACTGGGGACGCCTGCACTAGGATCTGGCCTGAGACCCAGCAAACTCACTGCACAGATGGGTTGGTCAGCGACTGGAACCCAGCAGCTAGGGCTGAGGGGCTGCCTAGCCCATCCCCACTGCTCATGGGACCCCGCCCAGTGCCCACGAGGCCCCTCCCGAGTGAGAATCCTGCCAGGCATGGCCCCTCCGCCCCTGCTCCCGCCCGCCCTGTGGGCCTTTGCCCGGCTGGTGCCCCACCCGCTCTCCCGGCACTGCTCGCAAGGCAATCCGTGGCCACAGCCAGCCTGGCGAGTGGGGGCAGCGTGGCAGGGGGGCACTGGGGGAGGCTCGCTGGCAGGGGGCCCCGTGGGAGTCAGACACCGGGGCAGTGTGGCAGGGGGGCACTGGGGGAGGCTCGCTGGCAGGGGGCCCCGTGGGAGTCAGACACCGACGTGCTCGCGATCCTTCTCCTTTCCTGGCTTTGTCCATGGTGGGAGGGGCTGGCGGAGGGAGGCAGGACAGGGGGTCCCGGAGGGGGAGGGTCCCTCACTGGGGGGAGTTGAGGGTGGAATCGGGCGACTCGGCTTTGGGGCAGCGGGGCGGGAGGGCTTTGTAACTGTAATACTCCACCACCTGCTTCGGCACCTCGGCCAGCACGCACTTCGCCAGCGCCGTGGCAGAGGCCTGCAAGACAGAGGGCAGCCGTCAGGCTGGGCATCTCCCGGCTCCTGCCCGCTACCTACCTCCCCCCACACTCTGCCCCCTTGTCCTTGCCGAGCATAACTGTGCCATTAGCCCATGCACTGGTGCCAGACACAGAGCCCCCCTGCCATCCCCCCAGAGCTACACACAGCTCCCGGGGCCCAGACACAGAGCCCCCCTGCCATCCCCCCAGAGCTACACACAGCTCCCGGGGCCCAGACACAGAGCCCCCCTGCCATCCCCCCAGAGCTACACACAGCTCCCGGGGCCCAGACACAGAGCCCCCCTGCCATCCCCCCAGAGCTACACACAGCTCCCGGGGCCCAGACACAGAGCCCCCCTGCCATCCCCCCAGAGCTACACACAGCTCCCGGGGCCCAGACACAGAGCCCCCCTGCCATCCCCCCAGAGCTACACACAGCTCCCGGGGCCCAGACACAGAGCCCCCCTGCCATCCCCCCAGAGCTACACACAGCTCCCGGGGCCCAGACACAGAGCCCCCCTGCCATCCCCCCAGAGCTACACACAGCTCCCGGGGCCCAGACACAGAGCCCCCCTGCCATCCCCCCAGAGCTACACACAGCTCCCGGGGCCCAGACACAGAGCCCCCCTGCCATCCCCCCAGAGCTACACACAGCTCCCGGGGCCCAGACACAGAGCCCCCCTGCCATCCCCCCAGAGCTACACACAGCTCCCGGGGCCCAGACACAGAGCCCCCCTGCCATCCCCCCAGAGCTACACACAGCTCCCGGGGCCCAGACACAGAGCCCCCCTGCCATCCCCCCAGAGCTACACACAGCTCCCGGGGCCCAGACACAGAGCCCCCCTGCCATCCCCCCAGAGCTACACACAGCTCCCGGGGCCCAGACACAGAGCCCCCCTGCCATCCCCCCAGAGCTACACACAGCTCCCGGGGCCCAGACACAGAGCCCCCCTGCCACCCTCCCAGAGCTACACACAGCTCCCGGGGCCCAGACACAGAGCCCCCCTGCCATCCCCCCAGAGCTACACACAGCTCCTGGGGGACAGACACAGAGCCCCCCTGCCACCCCCCCAGAGCTACACACAGCTCCTGGGGGACAGACACAGAGCCCCCCTGCCACCCCCCCAGAGCTACACACAGCTCCTGGGGGACAGACACAGAGCCCCCCTGCCACCCCCCCAGAGCTACACACAGCTCCTGGGGGACAGACACAGAGCCCCCCTGCCACCCCCCCAGAGCTACACACAGCTCCTGGGGGACAGACACAGAGCCCCCCTGCCACCCCCCCAGAGCGACACACAGCCCCCAGGGCCCCCCACCAGCACCCCCCC